AACACAAGAATCCATATCACTTGTTAGGTTGTGTAGTTGTTTTTATCATATCAGCTTAGTTATATACATTATTTAGGTTATTTTAATTTGGATGGCACAAAAAAAATAAATTTTAAATATTACGTAATGATAAATAATATAAATGTAATGGGTTTCTCATGTCAAAAAACTCCGATTTGCCAGATTTTGTGCAAAAAGCTCAATTATTTCAGGAATTATTTAAAAAAATCAAAAATGAAATTGCAACTTTGACACGGCAAGGCAATTTTCGTTAAATCGTAACATTTGTACCTCCTACTTTATCATGTACCGTTATTTAGGGGTCAACCTGTATACTGTTTGACGGGAGCGGAGCTAAAGGAGGGAACATTGAACATTGTATCGGATCATTTTGGTGAAAGACCTTATGCTATGTGCTAAATCTGCTTTTAACATTATATTTCTTTGAAACGTTTCATTTGGTTAGTAGGTAAAGTATTAAATATAACGAAAGACTGAAGTGATATGTGGCAGTAAGATATCGTGTGTGGATTTTCTATAAACTGAGTGATCCAATTTTAGGTCTGATTTTCGATAATTAAGAATGCCTAAGAAAGCGACACTCTAATTGAATGGTAAAACGTATGTTAGACTATATAGTTGAGGAAATCTCAGAAGGATTCTTGATCATGAGATCAAATAAAAAACTTAGGTGTTAGATGCAAAGTGTTGATGACTTTCTTCTCAAAAGCTTTCATAAATATACTTGCAATGACTTGGAGGACTTTCCATTTTTTAATAAGGATAACAAGATATGATTCCGGATTCACCAAATTTAATGTCTAAAATTGTGTTCACAGTTTTATCCATAGGAACTAGCAGTAATAGTCGAAACTAATCAGAATATGACTTGGATCTACTGGTTTTTAATTATTAAAAGACTTGCAAAGGGATTGAGTACGAAACTACAAGTTTTCATCGTAAAGAATATAGGAGCTAGATATTTTGCTACAGAATAGGTGGGAGAATCAATGGTGCTAACAATAGGTCAAAGGGGTAATATTGGTTAACCTCTGGGAATCAAAAATCGTAAAAACGAGGAATTTTAGAGTGGTGAGGCATGAGAGATTTTTCACAGGTTCTAATAGAGAAGAAGCTTTAATAGCAGATAAGGCAAGATATTTTCTAAGTTTGCGATAGGATCCGTTTGTGAGAATATCTTAATTTTTTATTGACTGTGTTTATGTTTATTACTGGCATTTTCTCTATCTACTTTTAAAATTACAATATCGGGATTAGATTTTAGAGATTTTACGGCTTCTAATTGAATTTCAATGCCTGTTTGAAATGACACTTTGCTTACGATATACTCGACATTTGAAATGATTTCCTTTTTTAGGATAATATGTGGGGTACGGACAAAGTTGGAACCTTTTGCAAAAAATTATTTTTAACTTTCAGAAAGTTGGTGCGATACTACATTTACCATATGTTTTGGTAACGGAGAAGATTTTGATGGTTTCGCTTGCATTTCTTTTATTTTAAATTTGTTTTCGCTTTTTTTCACATCACGGATACCAACAAATTTATATGACTGAAAAGGACTCGACACGGACATTTTTTAAGAGCACATTCAACTATGCTTGCCTTATAAAAAAAGAAAGTTGTATTGATTTATGACAAAACGGAGAACTGTAGATAAATTCCCAATAGGCTGCCAAAAAAAAAGCACTGATAATGTCTTTTATCCACATCCAAAATTTTAAAATGTCGTGAGCAATTTTCAAACGGGCTGAAACCTGATAGTTGATAGTGAAGATACGGTTTTGCTCTATCTAGTTCAGAAATATTTTTTTCCAGTTAAAACCCTGTGGAGGGGAGGAGGTAAGGAGTAAGTTTAATGCTAATTACCCAAAACTTAGATTCTGAGATATTATATTTTTTTCTGAAAAACGTGAACTTTAATATCGTAGAGGGTAGTTTTCACAGAACCTACTCTACTTTTTTTTAATTCACCTGGATTACTTGCCCAACTCTATTGGCTCACTTTTGAAATGAACAAAATGTCGGAAACGTTTTATTATGGGAAAATTTTAAATGAGATATATTAATTTTTTTCTTTTTAATAAGCTATCCCATTTTCGCATCGCAAATTTAGAATTTTTTGCATTAATACTTAATTTTTACAATTCTTGTTCAAAATGAGAGTCCCTATTTCAAATACTTGCTTAGCAGCCTGCGGCATTCAAGTTATTAGGTTATTTTGTGTCTGTTGTGCTCTGTTCCTTTCGGGTATTTACTAGGCATGCATAGACTAGCTGTTTCATATGACTCCCCTCATAATAGTCCAGAGGAGGAGTCAAATCGGGGCTTCGCGCTAGCCAATGTACTGGAACTCCCATTTCAATCCAACGCATGATGGAGTAACTGACAACCGTTGTTCTGAGTTAACATTCATTTTCTGACCGATAGGTCATGCCTTTGAAAAACCTGCTTTACACTTAGTATCCCTCATTAAACTTGCGTTTTCTTCATCTCAAAAATGTAAACTGTGAAAGTTTGGTGTGTCCTTGTGCGTAAATTGTGACCCATTCGTCCGTTAAATATCTGTCATATTTTCTGCGATTGAGTTTATAACAAAACGGCAGAATTATATTCTCCTTCCAGGATCACATTTCTTCAGGGGTGTAATGATAAGGATGAATTCCAACTCCATGTACCGTTGACCATTGTTATACTTCCGTTTGCCTCGAGACTTATAGTAGTTAAGGTAGTTGTCAAAATGCCTGAATATTTCTTCCTCATTATCTGGTTGAAACACAACAACAAAACACCAACAACGATGAAACAGAAACTTAAACTTTACAATTCAACTACTTTGAAGACTACTGTAAGCGTCAATCTGTTGCAGAATCGTCCAAAAGTCAGACTTAAGTATTAATGAAAATACAAAACGTTATATTTTGGGTACGTTCTTTATTGTGAGCTTAAAAATAAAAAACCGTATCAAGCACTTTTGGTACTCCCTTACTTTATTCGATAGCTATTGCAATAAGAATTTTTTTTTTCAAAATTTTGAACTAATGTTATGTTTGTTTGAGTTTAGAAAAATATGCAGATAAAAAATTGTGATGCTTTATTAAAAAAACTATTTATTACATTTTATTTAAAAAATTCCTATGTGTTGGGCAAGCCTTCAGTTAAATTATAAAAAAATAGAGATGTATGATTACAGAAAACCGACACACACCAACCGATACCCTAATTCATTGTCATATCACCATCCGGCCTAAAAATAATAGGCTATTGTTTACAGAGTCTAAAAACAATCTCTGCCCGAGTCACTGAACCCAGAATTAGAACACCTTACATCTGCTCTTCTTTCTAATAATATTAGAGATATTAAGCGTTTCATCACAAAATACACCACAACCTTCCAAATACTACTTCATATATACATTAAAAACATCACTGACCACATATCAAAATTTTTAAAGAAATATAACGCCAGAACCAGATTGACCACTTTGCAAAAATCTCTCAACATGCTTGTCAAATAGTTACGATGACGAAAGAAGAAAAGTGACCTTTTTGTTAGTATTCGAAAGTTTACAACTGAAAATATATTAAATATCTGATGTTCAACACTCTGCGTGGAGTATTTTGACGTTTTTGCTCAATTTAGGATTCCGGCGTCAACCCAGGCCCCAGATCGGTCAAAACTATTGTAACATTGAGCGTGGACAAAGAAAACAGCCTGGACAATCCTTCTTTTTCAAAAGCGAAATACACCATCGCGTATTCGGAGGTTTCCGGTTCTCCAATTTTGACCCCCGAGGAAGTTATTACCGCTTCAACCATCAAAATAGGCGACATAACTAAAGTCAACCTAGACGGCGGTAGGTAATTTCGTAAGAAAACAATTTCCATATTCTACTTTGGGGCTCGTTCTAGACTATGCAAGTTATTTTAAGGCTCAGAATGAAGGCAATATTTTTACCATTACCTGTGAAGGCTGGCCCGACGAATCTGAAAACATGGTCATTTTGACGCTTAGCTTCGAGACTGATTTCGTTGCTAGTGCCACTTTACTGATAACGAGAGATAACGTGGACATGGATACACCAACTTTCGAAAATAGTTATTACACGTTCAGCTACACACTTGAAGGAGATAGCCCGACACTTGTGCCTACAAGTGGAGATGTTACCGTCCAAACGAAAAAGCCTGGCAGCATTACTAACTTAACTTTAAATGGAGGTAAGATGAACTCGCTAACCCCAGAAAAATTGGCTTTCGAAAGCCAGTTCTTTATTCAAGTTTTTACTCTCCCATAATTTGCTTAAGGTACCTTAATTAGTGGTAACTAGTGAGGTGAGTAGATATTCCTCTCCATTAGAACTAACCTAGGATTGTTCGCCACTCGCCATATCACCACTTCAATTCTTTCAGACTACGCCGAATATTTTAAGTGTTCTCTTGAAAGCGACTCCAAAATAACTATCGACGCAACCACTACTCAGTTGCCCTCAGATACCGAAACCCCCGTAGTTTTAACGTTGAGCTTGGAAACGGATGCTATAGCTTCCACGATTCTAGTTGTAAACGTCGAACACCAACCTACGGATCAACCGACTTTCACGGAATTATATTACGAGTATAACTACAAGCAAAATAGCGATGTTCCTTCGCTGGAAGCTACCAACGGACCTCTCTCAGTGGTTACCGACAAGCCGGAGCAGATAACTGAGGTCGCGTTGAAAGGAGGTAAACTGATTCGTCACGTTGTTAATTTTGTTTGAAGGAGATTGTTTCTTTTAGAATACCAGGAATATTTTTTTTTGACACGAGAATCGGATCAAAAGACCATTACGATATCCGCCACAGAAGACAAAACGTTGCCGACTAATGCTCCAAATCCAATCATCCTAACCCTTAGCCTTAAAACTGACAACCTAGCAAGTGTTCCGATAGTTATTTCTACAGAAAACGCAAATGTAAAAAAAGATGTGCCAGTTTTTTCAAAATTGTTCTACATGTTTGAATATTCAGAGTCTAAAGGATTACCAATACTGATACCTCCTAATGATCTGATCTCTGTGTCGACCGAAAAATCAAACGATATATCAGAAATTAACTTAGACGGAGGTAATTAAGTATGCCTTTGATCGGTAACAATTATCAAAAACCGGTCCAGTGTAAATCTCTTATTCTTTAAAGTGGTGTACTTGGATTTATTTTAGATTATAAGGAATATTTTGAATGCCATCAAGAAGAGGATAATGTTACACTCACGGTTACTTTGAAGGATAAACCATTGCCTTTCGATGTTGTGGGTCCCATTGCATTAACGCTGAGTCTCAAAACAGATAAAACTGCCAGCGCGGCAATTATAATCTCCGTGGAACATGAAGCAACAGCGGATGAAGACGTGCCGGTATTCTTAGAATCGTATTACGTATTAACATATACAGAAAAAGATGATATTCCAAATCTAACCCCACCAGCAACAACGATATCCGTAGTTACTAAAAAGCCTCAAGACATCGAAGACATTACGTTGACTGGCGGTAAATACATATTTTGTGCTTAAGAACACGAGTATACACAAACAGTCACAAACACTATATAGACAACCACGACCTTCACTTACGGTAATGTGGAAAATATTACTAGAACACTACACGAAATGGAGAGACAATGACAACTGATACGTGTACATTTTGGAATAATTTCTTTTCAGATTATAATGAATATTTCCAATGCATGCAAGAGTCAGATAATATTACATTCACAATTGCTCTGAAAGACAAACCATTGCCGTCCGATGTTGTCACCGCAGTGGTCTTAACATTGAGCCTAAGAACTGATCACGTTGCCAATACCACCATAATTGTGTCAGTGGAAATTAAGACTGAAGAAGATGTGCCTGTTTTTTCAAAAGCGTCCTACATGTTCACCTATTCGGAATCTGGAGGATTACCAATACTGACTCCTCCTACTGATGTCATCTTTGTTGTCACTGAAAAACCCAACGAAATATCAGACATCAGCTTAGAAGGAGGTAATTAAGTACACTATACAAATGGAATAGCAAAAATTCTAACCTAATGGATTATGTTCTAATCTGGTGAACCTGGGATCATTTTAGATTATAAGGAATACTTCGAATACCATCAAGAAGAGGATAATGTTACGTTCTCGGTTAATTTGAAGGAAATCCTATTGCCTTTTGATGTTGTCGGTCCAATTGCATTAACGTTGAGCCTCAAAACAGATAAAACTGCCAACGCCGCGATAATAATCTCCGTGAAACATGAAGCACCAACGGACGAAGACGTGCCAGTATTTTCAGAACCTTATTACGTATTGTTTTATAATGAAACTAATGATAATCCAGCTTTAACACTAGCATCATCCACGATATCAGTGGTTACTAGAAAACCGCAAAATATCGAAGACATTACGTTGACTGGAGGTAAATAAATGTATATACAACAAACACTACTAACAGAAGGAAATTTATCACACACCACCGAGACACAATAACAATCACGAGCTTCATTTAAAGGAGTGTGAACAAAATGATCAAAACACAACACGAAATTGAGAAACAATTACAATTGATGCGTGTAGATTTTGGAATAATTGCTTTTCAGATTATAATGAATATTTCCAATGCAAGCAAGAGTCAGATAATATTACATTCACAATTGCTCTGAAAGACAAGCTATTGCCGTCCGATGTTGTCACCGCAGTGGTCTTAACATTGAGCCTCAGAACTGATCACGTTGCCAATACCACCATAATTGTGTCAGTGGAAACTAAGACTGAAGAAGATGTGCCTGTTTTTTCAAAAGCGTCCTACATATTCACGTATTCGGAATCTGGAGGATTACCAATACTGACTCCTCCTACTGATGTCATCTATGTTGTCACTGAAAAACCCAACGAAATATCGGATATTAGCTTAGAAGGAGGTAATTAAGTACAGTATACAAATGGAATAGCAAAAATTCTAGCCTAATGGATTATGTTCTAAACTGGTGAACCTGGGATCACTTTAGATTATAAGGAATACTTCGAATACCATCAAGAAGAGGATAATGTTACGTTCTCAGTTAATTTGAAGGAAGTCCTATTGCCTTTTGATGTTGTCGGTCCCATTGCATTAACGTTGAGTCTCAAAACAGATAAAACTGCCAACGCCGCGATAATAATCTCCGTGAAACATGAAGCACCAACGGACGAAGACGTGCCAGTATTTTCAGAACCTTATTACGTATTGTTTTATAATGAAACTAATGATAATCCAGCTTTAACACCAGCATCATCCACGATATCAGTGGTTACTAGAAGTAGATACATATATATACAACAAACGCCACTAACAGAAGGAACTTGACATCATTTCATTTTTAGGCGAGTGACAAAATTATCAATACACAATACGAAACTGAGAAACAATTACAGTTAATACGTGCAGAGTTTGGAATTATTCCCTTTCAGATTATAACGTATACTTCCAATGCATGCAAGAGTCAGATAATATTATATTCACAATTTCTCTGAAAGACAAGCCATTGCCGTCCGATGTTGTCATCCCAGTAGTGTCAACCTTGAGACTGAAAACTGCGAATACTCGGATGTCACCTTCCGATCAATACTTCAATTTAATAACTTACAAACCGCAAGAAGTAAAAGATAGGGGAACTAGTCGCGGCTAGACAAGGCACGGATGTGGATACAGATTACAGTTTAAATGCTTGGGATAATAAGGTTTTGGCCTCTCCGTCACAGAGACAAGATAGACTTTATACATAGAACATGAGTTTAGGTTTGCTTCCTCTTGTTCATTTTATAGTCTACAGTCCTACCTTTATTATGACGAACTCCCCTTGGTGACCAGATGCATTAGGAATTGCTTAGCCGGTCTTTGTATATCCGTTTATTATTGGTTGTTCTAGTAATTTATTTCCTCAATACAAAAACTTTTTTACCACTTACCTTGAGAAACCTTCTCCAGACCATCACACCGACATGAATTTTCTTTTTAGATTACGCGAAGTATTTCGAGTGGCATCAGGGGGACGATAATATAACATTTACAATCACGTTGAAGGACGAACCTCTTCCAGAGACCACAGCCAGTCCAGTCGTGCTAACATTAAGCCTTAAAACTGACAACGTCGCCCGCGTTGTGATACTCGTCTCCATAGAAAACGCAACCGCACTAGACATTGATGTTCCCGTGTTCTCTAAAGCGTTTTATACTCTTACTTATTCCCTATCAACAGAAGTCATAACATCCAGCGATACGATTTCCTTGGTGACAGAAAAACCAAGCGACATATCAGAAATTCGTTTAGAAGGAGGTAAATAATGACCCGTCTGTTACTTGTTCTAGTTAAATTAAATTTCGGTTTGTATTTTTTTTATTCGACTACGAGTTGTTAATTTTCTTGCTTTGCTTCGAAATACATTGTTTGTTTCAGAGTATGAAGATTACTTTATCGTTACCCACGCGGAAGATGCGAAAACGTTCGAAATTTCAGTGAAAGATGAAAAACAGCTACCGTCGAATGCACCAAGCCCAGTACTCTTAACACTAAGTGTCCAGACAGACCGTGCAGCCAGTGTCGCCATAGTCATAGCAATAGATGAATCGACTGAAGTGGTAGTGGACGTGCCCGTGTTCACGCGAAGCTTTTACTCTTTTAATTACTCCGAGAAGTCATTGGCACCCCACGATGGACCGATCTACGTGGTGACCAAAAAACCAGATAGCGTTACCGACGTTCAAATCGATGGAGGTACGTACCTAACCATAATAACTATAATTTTATTTATTCTCGAAGCAAGGTACTTTCAAGCGGTTGACGTTGAATCCTCCTTTGAGCTGCGATTCCAGCCAGAGGTTTTAGGTAGATATCTGCAGGTTCGAGGTAGTTTTCATAACAATAAATGGCAGACAAACTAAGTTTGACGGAACTAAATCAACGAGAAAATTGGAAGTTCAGTCACTTTTTATCACATTTGTCGACAAAAATCCTCCCTGGAGCTACTCTTCATTGCAGCATTTAGAATGTTTTGACGTAGTTTTTGGTTATAAATAACTTTGTTGAATTTGACCGAAATCGACCAGAAAAATTGGAGCTTCGCAATTTTTTTTGCTTTCTTTTTTGTTTAAGATGCTCCTTTGAGCTACCTTTTAACATAAAAAGTAGGGATCTACATCCATAACTGTAGCTTTAAATCAGACTATTTCTACTGTCCAACCATTCCAACGAATCTCACTATTGAAACTGTCATTCTTTTGGTAGTTTTTTCAAGTTTCTTTTAAAATTAACCACTCTAAGATTTCTTTATTCATGCTATGTTTTGCTCTTATCTGTCTGCTTCTTTAATTATTTTGCGGTTTGAGATTAATATTGAAGAAAACAATTTTTATCGAGCTAAATATTCAGAGGCAGCGGCCTATTTTATCTTCTATTTTCATTTGATTCGCTAATGAACTGGACTGCTTCCAGACTACGCGAAATACTTTTCCTACAAGCAAGGCGAAAACGAAACAAGCTTCATCCTCACGCTAGAAGTTGATCTACCATCCGATGTGGAAAGTCCGATTACGCTAACGTTCAGTGTGACAACGGACACAACCGCTAGAGTAATCCTTATCGTTTTTGTTGGTAACGACTCGCCCGAGGTAGATATAGATATTCCAAGGTTTTCCCGGTCATACTACTCCTTCACCTACACTGAAAATGATGGAAAAGCTCTGCTTGCCTCTAACGACGGTGATGTCACGGTAACGACGCAAAAACCTGATAGTGTTAGCGATGTGAAGCTGTTGGGAGGTAAGAATTATCAACAAAAGATCTGGCAACATTTAGCGAAAATGGATATTTTCCTAGATTACCGGGAATATTTCGCAATAAAAGTGGATAAGACGACAATAACATTAACTGTCTCGCGAACTCTGCCAAATAACACACCCACGCCCGTGATTTTGATGCTGACCTTGAAGACTGATGTCGAGACGAGCGTGAACTTCATCGTGAACATCAAGAATGAAGATTCAACCCCACAGTTTAGCAGCCCTTACTTCATCGGAACTTACAACTCAACCACCAAGCAGATCGACATGGATGACAAAATCGAAATAACAGGGAATCCAACACTGAAAATATCCGAGGGTAAGTTTCATAACCAATTGGCGAGCACAGAAGCAGCTCTCTATTTTTTGCGCAGACTCTGGCTGTTCGTCGTACTTCGATTTGGTAAAAGACGGCACTGGATATCGTTTAACTGTCACCAAAGCTTTACCATCGGACGTACTAGAACAATCTAGTTTAGTTCTAGTTGTGGTCGCCCGGTTAAATGGAAAGGACGTCGCATTCGCGACAGTGGTCATTAATCTGCCTGTTGAATCGATGCTGCCCCCTAGTGAATCCGACGACAAATCCTCAACCATTACGGCTTATATGATAACCGTTATAGTTCTGTGCATTGTGCTGACCAGTATAATAGTGGCGATGATTTTGCTGTGGTATTTCAAAATTAGGTCAGTGATGATTTGCCAAAAAAACGCAAAGTTGTAAGTAGTGTGACTAAGCAGGTTCTATACCAACATTATCCATGATCGCGTTTTTGGGAGTATTACGCTCAGCTATAGGTAACATGGCTGAAGAATGTATTGCACAATGTCCGAAGCTTGCGATCCTGGAAGACGAATGTTGCTTAAACGCCATATTAGTGTAGTGTTCATTTTTTGCAAGTCTTTTATTTAGTGAAAAATGCAAAAAATGTATTGGTTACCACTTAATAAAAAAAAACAAACAAAAAGTTTTAAAAAAGACGAGGTAACGATAAAACTAAAAATTTAATCTTGATGTTTTTCCCTTCAGGAATACGAGTTACGTGGAGCTCGAGGAAACTTCAAGCGGCAACACAAATTTCGGCAAAAAAAACTCAAACGTGTACGTACTGCAGAGTACCCTCCATTTGCCCAATTTCTATTTCACGGGTATTTTAGAAACATTGACGACGTGATAAGAAGACCCACTGGATATCCGTTCGGACCACACGGGGATGCGACGTACACCGTGTCCGGAGAGGAAACGGCTAACGAGTATGACATTCCGAATGACCCTGAACTCAACAAAGGGAAAAGGGTGGCCTTCGACAACGTGGTTCAAAGTATAGATGTGGACGTCGATAGAGAACTTTCTGAAGGGTGATTAAGACTATTCTAAATTTCAACTAGAGCATTGCCAATGTTTTGTTCTTTTCGGTAGCGGTAACAATCTCCCGCGTAGGCGTCCGACGGGTTTTGTTTTTAACCCCCCTCCCCCGGAAGAGGACACTGTTAGCGTAGACAATCCAATCTACAAGAGCGAGTATGAGATTCCAATAGATGCTGGGCAAAACAACATCCTTTATGCTGAGGCCGACAGTGACAGGTAGAGACTTTGCACTTAGAATCCTTATTTTTAATAAAGAGAAGTTTTCTCTGTTGTGGATTGCATCTTTAACTCCCGGGTTAATATCTTTAACTTGTGTTGCATATTGCTTTTTTTTTGTTGCGTTATTTTTATTAAGGTTTGTTCATTTGTCCACATTATAATTCAAATTTTGAATCATATCAAGTCACTATGGTCTGTTCTTTAATGTTAGAGAGTTAAAATTATTATTCAACTGCCAAATTTTGAGGTCTTCTTCGTATAGGCCATAGTATTGTATCATAGTATTGTACCTATATGCCTGACTGTTTAAAATTAGAATTACAGTTACTTTCCGGTAGTTGCTGGCAAATTTCGTTATCGAAAATGGCTAGTGTGTCTGAATTAGTAAACCTGTGCTCTCTAAAAATGAGAAAATTATTATTCTCAACGTGTTCAAAGCCCTTCGCCAGCAAAATCTTAACATTCGGAGTTGGACAGTTGCATCGTCAACAACATACCGACTTGTACAGGAAGGTGAACGGGGCGTTATTAAGTCAACAAAGAGAAGTACAGAAAGAACAGCAGCTGCGATAAATGAGGACGAACAGATGGCTATCAGAGGAATAATACACAAGGATGATGAAACTTTGAAAAGACAGATAGACCAATAATAATAATAATACACTCTTCTTGATTAAGCTAATTATCCTACATTGCGTGTAATAAGAAATTGTGGAAAACCTTGAAGAAAATAAATTTCGTTAAAAAAAAATCAAAACAGAAAATCACTTTTAATAGAGAATAAAGAAATTATCTAGCTACGACGATACTCGAGAGCAGTTGGGCAGTTGATAATAGTTTCGAATGGGAAATAAGAATATCTATTACTTGGATGGAACTTTAGTATATGACGGATATACCGTTGAGAAAACGGGCCAGGATAAAAGTTTAAAAAGCCCGAGATCCCCACGATTAAATGCATCCTCGGCAAAAGGTAAAAGATTAATAATTCCTCACATTGGTACAAAAATGAATTTGTCGGTTGTGGCATAGCAGCATTTCAATCAAAACGAATACGAATGACACCATTAAGACTAATGAATTTGCCTACTTCTAGCAAATACTACATTTTATTCTTTCTGTCAGGTACCAGTCTGAAAAATCCTAAAAAATAACTAGATATTAAATACGAAGCGATTTCAGTAAGATTTGATGACGACAGGTCTCGATTATCTACCTATTTCTATAATTATGTTATACAGAATTTGAAATATTAATAAACTACCTGCGGTAATGCCGCTGTCACATTATTTTCATCCACCAAACTAGTCTTTTCAGTTTTCAGTGTGTACAAATTAGTATGACCGTAGCAACGATTCGAGGTGTGTAGGGCTAAAAAATGAAATACAGAATTCATCGGAAACTATCATTGCAATTTACATCAACGATATAACGTTTAAGTTTAAGGATCGCTGTTATTTCAAATACGTATTCTATTATTCTGTCTTATTAAGAAACTTAGCATAGACGTTTATGATCATTCGTAGGTTAAGCAAAATAGACGCCAGTTCAAACGGGCTGACGTTCGGATATCCGATGGAAGAGGGTCTCTACGAAACATCGGATTCGCTAGGCATAGACAAGGAGAGAAAAAAATCGGTTGCGTTCGACGACAGAATCGAAAGGATGCAGATAGATGCGGTGAAGGATGACGAGGATGAAATAAGCGACAGCGAAAACTTAGACAGGGCCATCTAAACAGATTTAAACGTTGTAAATTAAGTATTGTTAATAAACGTTATTTTTCTACGTCTCCGATTTTATCATAGTTTGGTGAGTACGTGCGTTTTTTAATTGTAAAACTCGCAGAATTAGATCACTTCGATATTTAGTTTAGTATATCTGTTCGTGATTATCTCGGGAAACTTCAAGTGGCTACTGACATATTTGCGGTGTGACATGAATTGTTTGTATTTAAACGGGACACTCGAAGCAAACTCATTAAAAGAAAATTACCTCGGCGTTTTTGTCACTTTCGGGGAAATTTTTTATTGCGCTTTAATAAAATCATCTGGTAATAATGAAGATGTGGCGCGCCATTTACATTCTAGTTGTTTGCGCTGGAAGCTTTGCAGATGCGCAAGGTGAGTGTCAGTAGTTCTTGTTATTATTAATTTATTTGTACAGCGAGTTCTGTTTTTGATGGTTTTACGGCGTATCTCCCTTATAAAAAAAGCTGGCCTGTCGCTTCTTTGTACCTTGCTTTTTGTTTAAATAGAAGCTTACATAAACAGAAATGTTATCTTTGTCTTGCACTAATTAACTTGTGTTTGTTTAATGTTACAAGACACGGAATGTATCTTTTATTATATTTATTTTTAGATATCCTTGAGCTGTCATGACATTTTGTAATTATATTAATTACTACTTTCCCTTCCTTCTGCTGTGGCTCAAAATATGACAATAACAATGCGCATTTAGTATATATTACACATACAAAAGCTGCTTTAAAAAATATAACATTTAAGAAATAATATTAAGATATACGCTCTATATTTAAAATAAACCTTAGGTGTTTTTAGGTTTTTAAAAAGTAAAACAGCATTCTAATCAAATTATTAAAAGTCATACCGTAAAATAAATACAAGCGTGTTATAGGCATCAAATTTTTTGAGTTTCAGAACTGACTACACCACTGGATTCTACGTAAAAAACTTGATTGAGATAAACTTCCACTTTTTCCATAAGTTTACTCATAACTGAGATAGAGGATAATTAACTAACCATTTTTTACTCCGAACTTGATAAACTTAATGTTGATAATTACTTTGACGCTAGAACATTTTTCGCAAAAAAAAATCCTAGTTCTTTAAATTTGACACACAAAGCCGCTACTCCGTAAGTTGTGACGTCACAAATCCATACCTTTCGTCGTTTTTCTGAAATACTTAATTTAATAAATCTTTTCAACGCAGCAGAAACTGTTGTAGTTTTTTAACCTGGAGCGGTAAACCATTTTCAAGTAAAAAATAACTAAAACGTCAACATTACGTTTTAGCCGGAAATTGTACTTTTTAAGTCTTATTAAGTATTATAATTAAAAAAAAATCTGTCAAAAAATAGTTGACAAAAAAACACCAATATCAAGATCAAGATTTTCAAAAGATCTAAATCCCCAAATGTTTTTATAGCTGCTCCGTAGAATTGGCGGATTACAGATACATTTTGCTTACTAAGTTATTGGTTCATTTGTGACATTTCAATTTATGCACTGTGGAAATTTTGCTAGGGGCACGTTATCCAAAAAATCAGGTAATATTTGGTTTAAAATGCCAGATATCTATCTAATATGGAATTTAATTTTTGTTCCCAATTTAAAGCAAGGGGCGCTAAACCCAAACCTGTATTGTTGATGATGTTCTCTTGTTAAAAATTGATTTTTCATATACCAATGCGTATTATTAACCTTATTGAAAATATCACTACAATTTATATAGGCTTCGTCGGAACACATCACCTTTCTACCGAAGTTGGGATCAATGTGGGTTTTTTTAAGATATTAGTTATTAGGCGGCTTTCTCCAGCTTCAGCTCCATAGAGTTTATGTGTATATTTTATTAATATCGTTTGCGTTTATGATTTTGAGAGCCTAGCAGTTTCCTTCTCGTGATTGGCCTCAACATTTGTTAATACAACACCTCATTCTTCTAGTTATTATCATTCTATAACATAAGGTAAATTTAAAAAAAGTTTTTTTTTTAAATCAGCATCATAAAAATTAATAATAAGTCACTATAATAATAACCAAACCATCATATCATACTTATGACCATTTTCAAATTGGTTCATATTTTCCTAATTCCTTCAATAACGTACATTTTCGTGATAACTTACGTTTTTCTTATAAAATTGCATTTCCAAGGCTTGCTGTCGCAATTTTTACCTTTTTTCTATCCTACAAGGTATCCGAAATATGATGCCACCCCAAAAAGCGCAAAAATTCTATTTCACCCTGTATCTCGAGAACTAAACAAGTTGATTTCACGAAACCGTTGACAGCACAAAGGATAGTTTTTTTTTTGTTGTATTGTACTATTTAATTAAAAATAAAGTTTTCTCCTGTTTTTCATAAGCTCCTGAGGATCCTAAAGGCACTTACACGAATTCCGCACTATCGCGAAGTAATAGACGAAACGCGTAAACAGTTGATTTACGAGGTAATATTCAATTCCATTTACAGTCAATGATTTACTTCAAAAAATGGCACTTTTCAGTTTTTTGTTCATAATTGGGACACCCGGTGCATTTTTGACTAAATCACATTTTTACGTTCCTTTCCCAAATCTCGCGCGTCTTCTCGTTCAAAAATTTTCTCAATCGGACATACCTTTTATGAAAAAATCTTTTTTTTGTCCCTGAAAAAATTCTTTTTTAATAAATACTTCGGAGCTTCCTATCCCGCCCAGTTCCATCTGGGGGTGGAGTTCTAAATTAGATCCGAATTTTAGGTCTGAATCTTAAAATTTCGAACACTCACTTTGTTTCATAGCGATGTTCCGGGCAAAAACCATTAATAGTCGACAAAATGTGCGCCGATACGCATCGCCTAGTGTTAGTATGCAGGAAAATTTGAAGCTCGGACTTCCAAGGGTTTGACCGTTATCCGGCTTCAAAAATTTTCGGCAGGTCCTCTACGAAGAACAGAGATCCAACGCTGAATCGATTTGTACCAAAGGCGATAACGTACGATGTCCCGTACACAGACTTCGAGTTTAGTGAGGAGCATATACACTTACGCAGCGTACATATTTTTCAAATTTTCGGGAGTACTTTAAAAAAAAAAATCGAAAAAAAGGGGCAGTTTGTTTTCTCGCCTCAAGCAGATAAGGAATTATTAATAAGTGAAAAAAACTGTTAATTGTTATTTACCTGCAATTTTACTTACAGAATGCTCAATAGATGGCGGTGACGTATCAGTGTCCCTCACAATTGACGACACTCAAGTAAATGAACTAATGTTTACTGGACTGGCAACAGGAATTACCGGTAAGTATTTTTCTTAAAAAGATAAGCACATTATATGGTAGCCGGTGATAAAACTGTCAAAAGTCGGTACAGTTTTTTAAATAGTTGAGTACGTATTTGTCCTGAAGTAAAATAGGTCAGTTTAGAACGTCCTTCGACGTTGCCCGACAGTCCTCAGGTTGGCCAATTCTAATTTTGGTAGTCCTCGTTTTCTTCTGCCTGTTGCCATCGGATATATGGCACTCTTTTCAGGTGTTCGTACCACGTAAGTTGTTTCTTCCCAATATCCTGCATTCTGCGACTTTTGTTCCTACCCGTTGTTTTACGATTATGCCTTCTCCGTTACAAGGGCCTCAACTTTTTTCATGTGTCTGTCGATTTCTGAGCCATATGGGAGGGTCCTGTTTACCATTGCCTCATAACTTTACATAATATTCTATTCCGAGCACAGAGTAATTTTCTGGCTTCATTCGTCATGAATTCTTCCGAATTCTTGATTTTGATACCCTGGGGGGGTATCAAAATTCAAATATCTCTCTTTTCTATAACTTGTTTTAGAGATGTGTGTACATGATCTTCCTACCGCAAAAACTCATTGTCCTTTCTGTTCTTTTTCTTTATAATCCTCTTCAATGAGATCAGGTAAATTCTGCCATCGAACCTGCTTCACTGTGCGGGTAATCGAGAAGCCCTGATAATTATTCCAGCCCCCTTTAATCTTTGTGGTTGAAGGAGATTAGGCATTCAATCTTTGAAGACGAGATACCCATTCAAGCATTCATTTATCATAACATTTCGGAACTTTGGATCACTAGATTTACCTGGTTTAAGGTTCATAACAGTTTTTCTCGCCGTTTCCTCAGGTATCTCAATATCCTCCGATCAATATCCTCCGATCGAATATTGAAGTATTGAGTCTTCAAGACTCAGTTATATATTCTTGACCTGATATTCTGATATTCTGATATTCAATACCTGAATTAGGTTTTTATAGTGTCATAAGCATTTTAATCATTTGAATGTTTGACCCGTCTTTTCCTGGGTTCTTCAAAGTTCTCTTCCTCCTACATAGCTGTTAATTTCTTCACGTTTTCTAGGCCAAGACTAGTTTTTTCTATGTTAAATTGAACTCTTAGCTGTCTTTTTATGTATTTCCACTCTTAAGGTCTCGTTCATTTTTTATAGTTAGGCATTGCAGATTTATTTTTTCTTGAACCATTGTGTCTATCTTTCCATTCCACCAACGTTTCTTTTTTTGTGCTGTTTTTCTTTACTACTATTATCTCTTGTGTGGCTTCCTTATAATGTTCTCATAGACGTAGTCAAGCGTGTATTCTTCAGGACCGAGAAGTTTACTGTTGAGAGATCTTTGATAAAGAAATGCTGTGCTTTCATACTTAAGACTGACAATTATCTCAATGATTTTACTAAAAAGTGGCGGACTATCGCATCCTTAATTTTCAAATTTATTTATTTAAGATTTCGAATATTCTATATCATGTATACATGGATGCAGTAAAATAAAACATAGGAGATAAGTGAAATTACCATACTGATACCCTGATATACAAATATTTTCTAAACAACAAGAAATCCTCAATACTTTTTTTTCAAAAATCGGAATTAACAGAGAGCCAATTTTAACCTCTGCCAGCCGTTTGTTATAATTGCGATAACTTTTTCAGGCGTGTCCCTTCTCTCCCTATATGTTTCCGATTCTGCAGTAGAAAAAACCATGGCGATGTCTTACTTCAACTACAGTCTAGATGGAAATTTT